ATTCTAAAAAGTCGAACAGGAGAAAATGTATATAATAAACTGAAAATGTTTTTTCTATACAGGATTAATTTGCACATTGTGGCATGAAAGTTTTGATATTTCACTCGTCGTGAAATATCTATATTCATACTAGAATTACTGTATTTATAGCATCACCTATGAATCATCTTTTTCTATATCTATCGTATTTAAATAAAAACAAATGAAAATAATTCTGTCGTCACTTATATATTATTTATTTTTTAGTATGATTCATGTTGAATCTATTGTCCAAGATATGTCTGCTACTTGCTTAAAATAAAATAACAAAAATACATAAGCAGCACTTGATGAAATCTAGGTATGATGTGATATCTTGAACATTGAATTCTTCTATTACATCGGCTTCTTCACATTTAAGATCCTTTATCTGAAAACAAATATTAAAATAACGTTCAATTGTTTTATAGTACAGCCTGGTATTACATTAATCACTTGTTTTATGGATCACACGCCTTTAAATGAAATAAAAAACAATTCCTTCATTTTTGTATGGATTTATAAAATCACTTATGTATATAAATTTTATGCAAAATTAACGCTTTGAATAAATTAATATAAATAAATTTACGCTTTTAATCAATTAAAATAAATTAAATATACAACAAATTGTATATAAATTTCGGGGAAAAAACCCAATCAAGTTTAAGAGTCTACCATTCTAAAGCCATTTGACCAATTTCAATGCAAATTCGATTTTGTACAACTTGAGAGCATCTTATTTGCACATCAAAAGGCCTAAAGCCCTGACCCAAGTAATACGTCCAGGATATTTCCGCGTGGCTTGGTCATTTTTTGCACCGGCGATTTGTTCTTTCTCTATGTAAAGTTCGGGAAAAACATCATTTTGACGAGCCTACCATTAAAAACTATTTGATCAATTCCGTTTCAAATTTAATTCCGTTCTACTTGAGAGGATCTCCTTTGCACACGATAGGGCTTAAAGCCCTAACCCAAGGAACATGTCCAGGAGATTTCCGCATGGCTAGGTCACTTTCAAGCGATTTGCTTTTTCTGTATATAAATTTCGGAAAAAAATACCATCAATTTTACGAGTCTACCGTTCAAATGCCATTTGACCAATTCCAATGCAAATTTGATTTCGTACAAATTGAGAGTGTCTTCTTTGCACATGAAAAGGCCTAAAGCCCTAACCTAAGCAATATGTCCAGGAGATTTCCGCGTGGCTTGGTCATTTTTTGAAAACGGTTATTTGTTCTTTCTCTATGTAAATTTCGGAATAAACATCATATTCACGAGCCTACCATGCAAAAACCGTTAGATCAATTCCGTTGCAAATTTGATTTTGTACAACTTGTGAGGATCTTCTTTGCACATGATAAGGTTTAAAGCCCTAACCCAAGGAACATGTCTATGACATTTCCGCATGGCTAGGTCATTTTTCAGCGATTTGCTTTTTCTGTATATAAATATCGGAAAAAAACATCAATTTTACGAGCCTACCGTTCAAAGGTCATTTGACCAATTCCAATGCAAATTCAATTTTGTCCAACTTGATAGAGTCTTCTTTGCACATGAAAAGGCCTAAAGCCCTAACACAAGTAATATGTCCAGGAGGTTTCCGCGTGGCTTGGTCATTTTTTGCACCGGCTATTTGTTCTTTCTCTATGTAACTTTCGGGAAAAACATCATATTACGAGCCTACCATTCAAAAACCATTTGATCAATTCCGTTGCAAATTTAATTTTGTACATCTTGAGAGGGTTTTCTTTGCACACGATAAGGCTTAAAGCCCTAACCCAAGGAACATGTCCATGAGATTTCCGCATGTCTAGGTCATTTTTCAGCGATTTGCTTTCTCTGTATATAAATTTCGGAAAAAACATCAATTTCACGAGCCTACCGTTCAAAAGTCATTTGACCAATTCCAATGCAAATTCAATTTTGTCCAACTTGATACAGTCTTCTTTGCACATGAAAAGGCCTAAATCCCTAACACAAGTAATATGTCCAGGAGGTTTCCGCGTGGCTTGGTCATTTTTTGCACCGGCTATTTGTTCTTTCTCTATGTAACTTTCGGGAAAAACATCATATTACGAGCCTACCATTCAAAAACCATTTGATCAATTCCGTTGCAAATTTAATTTTGTACATCTTGAGAGGGTCTTCTTTGCACACGATAAGGCTTAAAGCCCTAACCCAAGGAACATGTCCATGAGATTTCCGCATGGCTAGGTCATTTTTCAGCGATTTGCTTTCTCTGTATATAAATTTCGGAAAAAAACATAAATTTTACGAGCCTACCGTTCAAAAGTCATTTGACCAATTCCAATGCAATTTCGATTTTATCCAACTTGAGAGAGTTTTCTTTGCACATGAAAAGGTCTAAAGCCCTAACCCAAGTAATATGTCAGGAGATTTCTGCGTGGCTTGGTCATTTTTTGCACCGGCGAATTGTTCTTTCTCAATGTAAATTTAGGGAAAAACATCATATTCACGAGCCTACCATTCAACAACCTTTTGATCAATTCCGTTGCAAATTTGACTTTTTACAATTTGAGAGGGTCTTCTTTGCACATGATAAGGCTTAAAGCCCTAACCCAAGGAACATGTCCATAAGATTTCCGCATGGCTAGGTCATTTTCCAGCGATTTGCTTTTTCTGTATATAAATTTCGGAAAAAATCATCAATTTTACCAGCCTACCGTTCATAAGCCATTTGACCTTTTCCAATGCAAATTCAATTTTGTCCAACTTGAGAGTGTCTTCTTTGGACAAGAAAATGCCTAAAGCCCTACCCCAAGTAATATGTCCAGGAGATTTCCGGGTGGCTTTTTTTTTGCGTGCCTCTTGCTATCATTTCCTTTTTTTGCTCTGTAAACACAATTTCAAGAGGGTTTTGTCTCCATGATTTTCCATTTGTATCGAAAACAGCAAATTAACGGTCCCAAAACGACCAAGCCATGTGGGAATTGCTCGGACATATTGCTTGGTTTAGGGTTTTGGTCTTCATTTTGTGCATAGAAGACCTTTTTTCATAGTTGTACAGAAACAAATTTGGAACATAATTAGACAAAATCCACCCTTTTGTTACGTAGCGTTTATTGAACGATTCTAAGATGTACTGAATTTCTGAATGGAAATATTATAAACGTGATGTGTCATTTAAACAACATCTAACTATATTACTAATTGAGAGACGACATTCAGTTAACATGTACAAAATAAATCCAGAGACAGAAATTTTTTTTCTAAAGATCTGAAGAACGCGCGAAACGGCAAAACCGAACTGTTGCAGCTATAATTAGTAAAAAATCATTTTTCCATTAAAAAATTGCTAATTCTATGGCCAGTGGTTGTGTTATTTGATAGTTAGATAAGAAAATGATCAACTACATCATCACCTGCACTAGATAACAATGCGTAAACCTTTCAGTCGTTTGCATAAAGTAGTTCTTAGAGTATGTCTTACCGTTGCCATAGTTAAGGATACAGTTGATAAAGTGTCTTCATCGGAACGCTGCAGGACGACACAGACGCATTGGTATAGGACTGGACACAACAAAACTTTCAACTGACATTATTCTCTGTTTTGGTGGATCATATTTTTATTGTGGTCATGTATAGTAATGTTGAAAAGCCCCACAATGTAGTAACAATGTAAATAACAACGTTTTCTTAAATAAAAAAAAACAATATTTCCAATATGAGTTTGTTCTCTTTTATACCTATACTTGTTGTGTTTGTATAACTAAATTCTGGGATTTTATAGTAAACTACATTTAATGCAATATCTGATGATTTGAATTGTGTTGTACCTGACACTACTTTTTATATTGTTTTATTGAAAATTGTATGAAATTAAATTATTTTTAATATATAAAAGATGTGTTTGTCAAACCAATCAAATTATGTTCTTAAAGAACAAAAGATTAATTGCCTTAGTCATAAAGTTGTTGTTTGGAGATTTGTTTTAAAGTTTAATGATGTAAACGTATTAAAAGTGTATACATTAGGGAAAGTCATCGTTAGCATTGCCTTTAGTTTCGTCGCTACAATGAGCGGTGAAGTTCAAAACATTGCTAATATGCTCAAATCATTGCTAAGTATATGTGAATCAAATAGCATGTATAACTGAATGATTTCTTACAGTTATTCGCGTGATTAAATGAACATAGTTAAATTGTTTTGTTGCACAAAAAAGAGTAGTTTACCTTCCAACAAATAACTGCAGTGACGAATTATTTGTATATGATTGACTGCAAGGTATTCGCTTATCGTGTAAAAATGTTTCATGATTTATCATCCTCTCAGAAGAAAGTAGCCTATCAAGGTGTTCGGGTAGATTTGTCTCCGTTACAAATCAATAAATAAAATATATATATTAAATAACCAAAATGTGTTTACTCTTTCACAAACTGTTCCAAGACGGCAGAACCGGAAATGACCAGTATCAACTGTAGCAAGGATCTTGGGAAGAAAAAACTGTCGGTTGATGCTGACTGATGGTCACATGGATATGATTATAGTTATGATTTCATGTTAGTGAAAAGAATTAGTTTGATAAGTCTGTTTTAATACATTACAAGAGAGCATTCTCATTAATATGTTTCACTGTTACATATTATCTTTATCGCTGTTCACATGTTATGCCCTTTCTGAAATACAAATGTATCATTTATAATTGCTGACAACATTTCTCCATTTTTCATCTTAACACTTTACACATACATTGCCACTTATTAGATATTTAAAGGCATATTCAAAATAGACATGCTTGAATCAAAAGAGACGCTCAAATAATCTTGCAAAAACTGTTATCACGGTCCTGCGTGGAAGTCACCAAATTTGGCAGGAAACTTTAACAAAGATATCGTATGTATTGTGAAGTTTAACTTCGTTTTTATTCGATAGCATGTTTTAGCACCTGTGATATAAGTATACTTAGGTATTTCTCCCGAGAATATAAAATAAGTATTTTTGAATAACAAAACTTAGAGTTATCACAAAGAAGAGGATTTAATTAAAATAGATACATAACAACATGATTTTTTTTATAACATCAATATAAGCAATCTTGGTTACGATTTTTATACACAGTTAAGTACAGTTGTTTTGTAATTAATATTAGTTTGAATCTACAGTTTTCGAAGCTTTTGTTTGTATGTTTTTGTTCTGTATGTGGACACAATCAATTTGGTTTCATATTAAATTCCATTCATTGGAAAGAGAATTAAGCAAGTCGGCACTATCATTAAAGTTTGTATAGTTATTACAGTCATCTCCCATTCCCTTGCAAATGAACAAGATGGGGAAAAAGAAGTGAAGCGTATAAATTACGTCCCTTGACAACATTTAGTTTGTTTATTTAGATATCATATATAGCGATATTCACTTTTTAGCTTGATTTGCAACAATTTTCGCGAATTCCTCATAGTTTATTTTATCCATCTTATCCTTGCTGAACGTGATGAGTAACTGAGACAAATTTGCCGCTTTGAAAGACAATTCTTCGTCTGCTTTGATGGCGTCTATTATCTCTTTCTTGGTCAGAAATCCACTCTTGTCTTTATCAATGTTGTTAAAGAGTTCCCGAAGTAATGTTGCAGTCTGGTTGTAGTGAAAAACTTGAAGAAATTCTTCGTAACTGACCTGAAGAACAGAAACGAGGAACAGTTCTACAGTTTGACAAACAATTCAGATAAGGAACGCTATCGCATTTTCAGCAGTTGTATTACCAAGTATATCTATTGAGAAAATGTACATTACTAAATGATAACTTACTCCCTAAAGTGAGTTTAAAGGAATGAGCTGCTCATACTGTTAATTAAAGTTAAACTATATAATAAGCTAATCATTGAGTGAAATATTTTAATCACAGAAATTTATTGGAATCTTTATGATTATTACTGAATATGCCTTACTAGAATACAAAATAGAGACAACTGTGTATCGGGAGCTGCGTTCGCTATTTTGAGAGAAGTGAAGTTGGTACTTCCTTAAAATACTGCAAGTTATTTAACGACACTATAATATTTTCCTATTGTATCCGCCTATATTATGTAGATTTGTAAACATAACATATCTACTTTGTGTAAAGTCAAAACATGTTTATTTTATATTTACAAAGAGACTGTGTGGAAATTATCAATATTTTCTAAACTTTAATTTGAGCATAGAATATCTTTATAATGTTAATTGCAGAAGGAATTGTGGTTGTGTAGATTATGTTTCGTAACATATGCGCCATTTGTCTGGCTTTTAAAACAGTAGTTCAGTATCAGAAATATGCTCTAGTTGCATACCTGTTGATCACCTTTGCCCTTTTCATGTACGAGACTGATGAGCATTTCGGATACTTTTTCGGCGGGAAGGTTTAACCCCGCCTCTTCTGATCCTACTGCTGAAATGACTTCATCACGTGACAGAAAACCACTCCCATCTTTGTCATACTTCTTGAAAGCTCTTCGAAGCACTATTTCCCTTGGAATGTGTAATATTGGATAATTATTGTGAAAAAAGTGTAACCAAAAATATGTATAAAACAGTTTTAAACAATATGATAGAATAACACTGTATTTACCTGAATGTTATATAAAATGCGGTATTCAGTTATAGTAGCATAGTATGCATTCAGTAAAAAAGCTAGTTTTTTTCACGTATTTTAGTATTATAAATTTGTTAATAAGTCTCTTCAATTAAAAAAAGACATTAAACTTATAATAACAAAATAACGTTTAAGTCTTATCTAGGTAAGCATGTTCACCTAAATAAAAATATATATCTAAACATACCATTTACTTACTTTAAACTTGTTTTCGGGGCTTTCTTCACTGCAACCATATATTCATTTCTTGAAATTTTAGCATCTTTATTGGAGTCAGCAAATTTGAATATTGCCTGCAATAAAGTTAACACGTTTTAATAACAGTATATCTACAATATTCCTATATCGATCAAATTGAATTGGATCATATATCAATGAAAGAAATGTAGTCTGCCTTGTACATGCTTTCGAAACATAACAGTAACTACATATATTCAACCCGCTTTCAGAAATAACAGTAATTAAAGGGTATAAAACTGTATCTTATGAATCCTTTTTTTATAAACTATTAAAAAGTGAAGGTTTGTTAGTCTCATAATATTGTGGTAGAAGCTCAAACGAATTATAACATAGATCATCTCTGTTATTTACACACATTGATATTGTACGCAAACCGAATAAAATGTTCCAGAACAAAATAATATGCTGCTATTTTAGGGTTTTATCCATTATCAATATTTTTGTGAATTTGTCATTCCCTCTCGAGGAAATAAACAAACACAATTTCTTTCATATATAGTACAAAGTTTTCTTGTTCAAAATAAAAAATAAATAAGTAAAAAACTTGATAATAAAAAAAATAAAAAAATAAAACAAAACACAATTAAATAAATAAAAATGCAGCAGATGTATGGCTTTATAAATATACTTTAAGCCACCCAGTTGTAAACCTTTCCTACTTCGAATTTGAATAAAACGCATGTCTCATATATATTTTTACCTTGAACTGAAAAGTACAAAAGTTATGTATGAACGGTTTTTTCTTGTTTGGTGATATGTTTTTCACCTAGTTACATACACTGGAACATAGAAGATATATCTTTCTAGATAAGTTGAAGCAGACGCTCGAAACATTAAATACAAAAATAGACTGTAAACTTATTTCGTTTGCGTTCATTATTACAATGATTGTTAATTACCTTGTACTTCAGGGCAGCTTCATTCCTTTACCACATAACAAGTGTATGCCTTCATCAACAAGATATTCTTTCAATATTTATGCAATCTGATTACACACTGATTACATGTAAAACCAAACATATGATCCTGTTATCACATGTTTAGCCTCACTGAAGTATGACTCATTTTCAAAGTTTTGATAAAATTCCTGAATTAACGGTTGCTTAGAAACGAAAGTTTCAGAGGAACGCCACAAACAGGATATCAGTATGATTATTAAATCACTTTTCATAAGTAGCTGTTTGTAATTTATTCATATAATGGCCTACCAAGCGTCTTATATTTATATATTATTGAATATATGGTTAAGAAAAGTATTATCATTCGTGGCAGGAGTTAAAAACGGTTTGATAAAAACTCATTAGATACCATTCCGCTAGTCATTTGAGAATCTGCTTATCGCAGTCATAAACTGATAAGTTGTTGTATCCATAAAATGTTTATTCAATATAAATTATTTTCTTTGCATTTCTTTATGAAAACAATCCTTTACGGCTTTGAAAAAAGAATATAATGACGTGTTATCCAAATGACCGTAAAATCAATCTTTATCCTAACAGTGTTCATTTGCTAATATCTACATGTTAAAAATGCAGGAATGGGGGTGATTGTAGATTGGCACAATGCCAACGCTTCTGATGATTTATTATGTTTAAACAAACATAAAACATGTAATATTTTGTAAATATATAAAGAACAATAAAAAACTATACAGAATCTCTTAACTTAGTAGTGACTACATTTCGTATTAAAAATACTTAATTTTACATAAAAGCGGTTTACCATATCTAAAACTAATTTTTTTAACAAAATGAGAAAATTGTCTAAAATCAAGGAAAAACCTACTTATTCCTTAAAGTTTTTAAGATCCTTTGTTATATAAAAATGCCATCAAGCTGCATTAAAAAATCTAGACACAATTAAATGAAAGCAAATGCAAAAACTACATCCATTTATATATACATATTTTTTTTTTGGCATAGCATCTCATGGCAATGAAATTTACAAAACACGAAGATAGTAAACAACTCACTTTTACGTCTTCTTCCGTGCCTTTAAATCCCGAATTTCGTAACACTTCACTTATTTCAGCAAACGACAAACTTCCATTTTTATCTTTATCTGCCTCGCAGAACTTTTCTTCAAAAGCTGTCAATTGTCTCTTCAGCCAAAAACTTAATTCACCCTCTGCGCTCATGTTTGAAAATATAAATATAGGAACTTTCCCACAGACAATTCTGCAAGCTCTGCCAAAATATGGGAAACGTTAATAACAGGGGAATGAGTTTAAAACTGAGAGGAAACTCTTCGCCTAATTAAAAGACGGATTGTAAAGAGAAATTAGCTGGTGGAAATTACCTGTAGGTATGTTTTAGTGATTATGAATACCTGCAAGAGTCGAAATGATTCAATACTGGATCTTTTATGTGTATAATATATTTTGTATGTGAACATGTGATATAGTTCTCGTGAAATGTCAAGGGTACTAGTAATTTGCTTTTGATTAGGTTACATAAATCTACTGTAAAAGTATAATTTATCAAGATTAGTCTTTAAAAGCGAAAAAACAACAACAAAAAAGAGAAAGAAACAACAACAAAAAACTTGCATCTAAAATTGAGTAATGATTTATAATTATGTTGATTCTAATATTGTTAATAACGTAAAATTGTTTCACTAAAAATAAACAATATATGTTTCGACTTAATTGAAAAAAATAAATTTTTAAAGATAATTTATTGAATACTATTATACTAATGAAATGCTGTTTTATTTCTTTTTATATTTTAAATTTGTATGTTTTTAAAATTTTAGAATTACTATACCAAGTAGTTAATTACCCTTTCTATGAGATATAATATATTTTTCTTTTGATAGAGACCATGTGAATAATTATTGTATATTAGAAATTATGCGTTCTGATTTATGTTTTTTATTTCTATTTTGCAACGTGTTTTTAGTCATGACGTACTACTATATGTGGCTATTTATGACTAAACTTTACAGATAGTACGGACGAAGAGATTACATGAACAGAACATATGAATTAGTCATATCATCAACAGCTGTGTTGCAAACCAATTACTCACACTATAAACTGCACATGGCTCTGTGTAGCTGAAGGATTTATAACTTACTTTAACACAATTTAAATAGTCAATGTCAATCTACAAAAAGATATAAATAGAAAACATAATAATGATAATAATAATGATAATAATAATGGTATAATAATGATAATAATAATAATAATGATAATAATAATAATTAAAAAAAAATAAATTAAATGATAAAACTAGAAAAATGTATAAGTTAGTGTCAAGATAACCTTGCATATTTTTTGGGTACTAATGACTTGTATAGAGATTTTGTAATTTCTTTCAAATATAAATTTAATCTGGAATATAAATAAAGTAATAAAGTATTTGATATATGGTAAAACATTTAAACGTTCTCAACTTTAAATACTGCAGAAGTACTGCATATATTATTTTTGCGTTGAGTTAAATGACCACTGAGAGGAAGAATGAACAACAACAACAACATACTTTTTGTATGCAATACAAATAGATTTACAATAATTCAAAAAGTTTAACATTGACATAATATGCTACGCTTCGGTAAAGGGTTTCATTGTATGGCGTTTATATGATTTAGCACACCGTTAATAATCAGATCCATGGTATTTAACAGGTTGTACTGCAATATAAAGCATGCAGTTTTAAGTTAATGAAAATTTATCATTTCTTGTATACGTGTTACATGTATTGAGGTTTTTTTGTGAATCTTAAGAATGTCAGTAGATGCTTTCGTTATACGGTGTTTTGATGTCTGTATAATAGAAATTGAGTACCAGGTTAATTATTACACATTCTTTGTTATCATACTGAAGATCTTTGATCTTTGGTAGGATCAAAAAACATTACTAGAGGTAAGGTTTGTCAGTTACTATATGTGGTTCAGAATTTTCAATGTATGTCTATCTTTTAATTAATTATTTTTTTTTTATCCTGCCTAACCTATGATATGATGGATTGGTTAATGGCTTATGGGAAACAAATAAAATGACAAAACTAATTTAAAAATAAAATACTATAAAATAAAAATAAAATAAAAAACAATAAATAAATAAATAAATAAATAAATAAAATTGTATACTAGTATATTCCGAATTCCAATCCATCTGTTAAAAACAAATTGTCGACTTTAGCCGTTAATTTTTGGAAGTTTTACAACTTCTGGTAGACTCATATATCAACGGTTGTACATTGCAAATTAGTAGTATGCATATTATGGCTTCTTTTGTAACTGATACTAAAGTTAATAGAATTTAATAATGCAAATGAACTCTGCCTTTCTTTCATTGCATTCCTCGCGTATATAAATCATATTATAATTAAACGACATCATATTTATTAATATTATCTACGTCAAATCAGTGATTAATTATTTAGTATGTGATTTGCATATTTATCTATAAGCTGATTAAAATACTTTTTAGAAACATGATATAAACTGCTATCTTACATCGGTTTATATTGAAATATATATCACTGCCTTCAGATAATATCAAATATGTTAACAATTTGTTACGATAAACATGGTTATTTTCTATCAATGGTTCTAAAGAATATATTTATCAATGCACTTAAAACTAATTATTAACTAGAAACCTTATCTTCAAGTTTAAGCATAGTGAATGTGTGGGAGAGACTTTTAATTTACATATGTTTTTCCCCACTTTTTATAATGAATAATGATGTCTCAATGATAACTGAAGATCTGGTAAATCGCGCATTTTGATTTTGCTATTAACACAATTATATCTATCATTTTGTAAATACATATCTCATTCCTTTTTAATGTACGCCCAAAATATGAAGTAAATATCTAAGTGCAAACAAAGATTTTGTACTGGCTTACATACTTGTGGTTTAATAATAGATAATAAACTTTAGGCGCTTTTTGCAAATAATTAACATTACCCCACCCATCTCCCTCCCCTCTTGGCTGTTGTTTATTTTTGGTCATTCTTATTATATATGTATCATATTCCTAAGATAAGATAAAGTTCTCTTACAATTCTAGCATATGTATGTCAGCTATATTTATAATATTAGACTAAGTGCTTTTACAATAATTTTCTTTACACATTTAAAGGGTAGATATTTCAAATAAATCATTTGTTAGATTTTTTTATTATCACATTTTGTCAATTATTTTCAATTTGCCAAGGGTCAGCTAAATATTTCATAAATACATGACTTTTCTATCTCATAGTGGTGTTCATTATGCGTAGTGAAGTTACATGTACTGCCTGTTGGTCAAATAAAAGGCGGGAAAATAATTCCAATGTGTTTAGAACTTGCAATGTCAACAATCAAACAAGAATATTCAGCTGATACACAACCGAACATTTGTAGGAAGGTACATATAATACATATATTGAACTTTAAATGACAAGAAACACCTACTATTCTTAGCTTAGTTGAAATAGTGTTTGAGGGGTAACATAAAAACATGGTTTGAACTTAAGTCTTAGAGGTATAATCATAATCTATTATGAATATGTTTTATTTTATGGAAACGTTTTGTTCAGTGGTATACGTTTCACAGATTGTATATATATGTGTGATATATTCCATCGTATAAATGACATTGCTCTTGCGTGACAGACACGCCCGCTCAATTTGACAGTCAAAAATATAATCGTTTGACTTTTGTAAAATTATGATTGAAAACAATAAAACTACTAGCCAGCTCATCGTCATTACCACAACCTCCTATTACACAACGGAAAATCTTAAATCCGGCTCGAATAACGCCTCGTTTGATACAGGTTTAAGAGCTGTGTACTCATCTTATAGAATTTAGCATTCAATTTGTATATATGATCTAAAGATAGTTGCAATTATATTGGTTCAAACAGTGGTCAACAGAACGTCAAATTATAAAATCATATTCACTAGCTGAATTCACAACCTATAATTAGAAAAAAAGGCTCATATTAAAAAACCACACAGCAAATACTATCCACTGTGTGTGCGTTAATCATATTCACTGGGTAAAGTATCATATTCACTGGCTGAATTAGATTTGCCATTTCTAAACTAGAATCAGACTCATGAATATCAAATGCCCATACAGCATAAACGATTAAAAATGCTGTATTTTGTCTTTCGTGGCATATTTTCCGATTAAAATTTATTTACTAAAAATAAAAGTTAAAATTATACCCCATTGATAAGTAACTTGATATATTTTTGATATAAGGCTTAATAACTTCTTGAGTTCTCATTAATTATAGGCTGATCATTTAATAAAGCAACTATTGACTAATGCACTATTGAATATGATGTGATGTTTACCTGCAAAATGTCATATTGACCTCGGTTATCACACCATATTCAATGGCTCATTAGTTAATAATTGTATAATAATTTCATAATATATTAAAACCTAGATGCTATTGAATGATTTATTCCCAGGCATTTATAACTGAAATTATAATAAAGTTGAAAAAATCTCATTTCGTCGGTGCATCACAACTGTGTAGTATTGCACTTACTGAGGTTTCTCAAACTGACATATTTTGAATATTCAGTACGCTAGACAACATGTATCTGATAAAATATTACAACAAATTCATGATTGGAAGTAACACAAAGACAAATGCTGAAAGTAAAGGATATAAATTTATTCATTTTTCAAACATTATTGCGATGAATCAACCTATTATAGGTGTTGATGCCGTCTGGGCGAAAACACACTAGACTCTGTGCTTCCGCACCTGTTTATTGCTCTACATTTGAAGACGTTTGACTGAAACTGAGCATGTGGTCCTATTTTCAGCACCTCATGATAATCTCCATGTATTTCTGTGTGAATTCCACTGGTATTCTGTCACAAGTGAAAAAGAAAATGTCTTAATACCATGGTATTCTGTGATAACATATAAATGAATGTACAGGAAATACAAAGTAATTTTAATAAGACACATAATACATCATCTTAACGGCGTTCATCCTGGTTTGAGCAGAACTGTAATTATTGTAATAGTGAAGCCGGAAATTAACTGCTAATTTTCATTGCATTTATTGAATTAAATGTTCTTCACAAATTGAATTGGAAAATAATTAATAAAATCATAGTATATGTAATTTGAGTTATAATATAATATTCAGAGCAGATAACAATTTATGATTGAATCAGCAAACAAAAAAAATATGGGTATGTTTCATTTAATGATAATATTATTGTTATACAGTTACAAATGAAAAGATTTAGGGCTGAGTTAATGAAGACTAGCGGACCAAAAGTTTTGTCAAACCCAGAAACATATATACCCATTAAATTCTTACCAATATCTGCCAATCTATCAACGGTATAGGATTCCCAAATACTTCACAATGTAGCATGGCGATTTGTCCAATCTCCAATGATCCAGTCATAGTTAGATTGACTATTTTTGGTGCTAAGAATATGTAAAAAGGTACAAAACTGAAACTGTGACATCAAGGAGTTTATTAGAGAACAACAGCAAAGAGTTTTTATGAGCGTTAAGCCACAAACTCTATATGTAATACCAACATTCGTAAAATGAAAATAAATGCTTTAATAATAAAATGCTAATTCTAAATATATATAAAAAAAACAATTTAAGTCAAGATAAGACATTTAAGAAATTCAAAGACAACATCTAAATATGTTATATTATTATAAAACTGGTCTTAAAAATGTAACGGATGAAATAGTAAATACCATGATGAAAAAATACTTACGCATGCAGGAAGGATTGTTACAGTAGGATCTGTCATATTCTATTGATTCATTCATACATAAAGACATATTCCCTTGGCTGTTGTCCGTAATACTGCAAGTTCTTGACCTTTTCTTAATTCCACCGTTTGAACAGGAGCCCCAACTGCTCCATTCGGACCAATGTCCAATATCTAATGAAATATCCCCCAAATGGTTACTTAATATAATGAACTCTCCAATAATATTTTTCAACAGTTACTTGTTCTTATATTAGTTTATAAAATATGTTTTACAAATACAATTTGATACTAAGTTGAAATTGTCATTTAATATTGTAACTTGGTCGTTCATTTTGAAGTTCATATGTAAACAGAAACAAGTATAATTATGCAAATATGGACACTGCACCGCACATGTTTTGGTGACTTTGCATGATGTATTCATAATGCTTAGAATACATGGTCGACATATTCATTTTTCAGAACTATAAACTGTTTCACGATTATTTTAAATGAAAATATTCTAACTGATAATTGTCGTTTGTTAAAATGTGTTAATTGTTTAAGCAGCATTCTGATTGCTTGACAAGTATTTTCTTCGACCTCTAGGAAATTATAAATCTTACTTACGGCATCTATTGCAAAATACAGGGCATGCAGTAGCTGAAAGTACTGGATCTGAACACACATTTACATGTTGTTTAGCCATTGCAACACATGCAGTATGGTCAAAGTTCTGACATTCATGACCAGATTGCGTTTCACCATGTACAGCCGTAGAAAACAATATAATAACAATCAGGGTAATGCCTACAGGAGTTGATTGTCATTTTTATAAATAATATATATAACAGTTATTAAATGTTTACGCTTTTTTTATGAAAAGTTTCCGAATTTATGAATGGTGTGGTTTATACTTAGTTTCAATCCCTAAAATACAGTTTATGTACTCGCAAAAGTAAACGTAAAACTCGTTTGTTATATATTTAATCGAAAGTTTTAACAAATATTAATGAAATATACAAAGCAAACACTTGCATTGTAATCTTGCCATCCTGATGACGATTAATGTATGCAAATAAAAGCATTAAACATATACTTCATAATTTGCTTAATAGGAGACTTACTTACGACACAGCATATTAAAATTGAGATAAAATAAACTAGGTTAAAAGTTAGAAAACTGGAACATGGTTTTATCAAAGTCTGATAAGTGATAGTCGGTAAATTAACAATTAGCAAAACATTTGCTCTCTAAGTTTCAATACAAGTGTTAGTGAACTGATTGTAGTTTAGACGGTTTAGACGGTTTGGTTCAAGTTCATTAAACAAAATATAATATAATTATAATTTACTTATTAATTAAAACATTTTAATAGGAATTGATTGAAATATTGACGTACCGATTATCAAATGATTTTAATCAGCAAAATGTATCTGTAGGTTATTGCATAAAAGTGACTTAACATAGCAAAGCATTTTTAGCTGATGATAAACAATAAGTAAACATAACATAATGAGGCATACTATTTGTTAGGCATTTGTTGTTATAACATTCACATCTATATCGTATCACATAAATAAACATATAAAACTATGTTAATCTTATGAATCAAGTAAACTCTAACTCAAGTTTCTTAAATGCAAGTCAAATATGACTTTAACTGCTGGAATGGAATGTTTTGGTGTAAGTTTCATGCTTTTTTGCCGTAGTGTTCTCCTTCCAATTTATGTCGGTTGTTAATCTCGTACATTGGGTCTTGGCAGATATCTGCTAGAATCAGTTGTAAAACATTGGTACTTCTGTAAACGCCGGACAAGAGACCTCGTACATAGAACACAAATACACCATTTCATATCCGAATGAAAGGACTTTTCATATTAAATAAAATGATACACGGGCTGTTATATATAATGCACAGAAAAGAAAGACACAAGATCTGTAAACACGTGTTTAATCTAATGCGCACGCATAGAAAAGAGAGATAAACGATTTGTCACGGATTGTTATATCCAATGCATAGAAATGAAAGATAAGATTTGACAAGAATTGTTATATCTAATGCATAGAACAAAATTTAATGATAATATTTGTCATGGATAATTATATTTAATGCATATAAAAAGATAAGATTTGTCACGGATAGTTATATCTAATGCATAGAAAAGAGATATGAGATGTGTAACGAATTGTTAAATCTAATGCATAGAAAAGAGAGATAAACGATTTGTCACGGATTTTTATATCCAATGCATAGGAAAGAGGGATAAGATTTGCCCCGAATTGTTAAATCTTATGCATCGAAAATAGAGATTTGTAACGAATTGTTAAATCTAATGCATAGAAAAAAGAGATTTAAGATTTGTCACGGAGTGTAAAATCTAATGCAAAGAAAATAGAGGTTTGTCACGAATTGTTAAATATAATGCATAAAAAAGAAAGATAAAAGATTTGTCACGGATTTTTATATCTAATGCATAGAGAAGAGAGATAAGATTTTTTCACGAATTGTTATCACTAATGCATAGACAAGAGCGATAAAAGATTTTTCACTGATTATCAACTTCACAGATAAGAAAGTCACAAGATTTGTCACGGATTATTAAATATAATGCATAAAAATAGAGATTTGTCACGAGTTTTTAAATGTAATGCATAGAAAAAAAAGATAAAAGATTTGTCACGGCATAGAAAAGAGAGATAAGATTTTTTCACGAATTGTTATCACTAATGCATAGACAAGAGCGATAAAAGATTTTTCACTGATCTGATTATCAACTTCACAGATAAGAAAGTCACAAGATTTGTCACGGATTATTAAATCTAATGTACAGAAAAGAAAGATACAAGATTTGTCAATTTGCAGCATATACTCAAAATCACTAATTCCGCGTCATCACTTATTTCACGGTAACGGAATATTTTCATGTGACCAGCGTTAAATTGGTCAGAATTGACAAACGTTATTATAACACTTAAACAATAAAAAATTGTGCAAAATACTTTAAAATCTCTAGATTTTTTTATGAAAAGCAGAACAACATTTTAAGTCCATACAATTTGCTCATACGTCTGAAATCGGTATTTTCTGATTGTTCTTGTTTGTTAAAAATCATGTTTTTAGTTACAAAGTTAAGATAGTTTTAATGTTTATAATTAAGCAATATATCATTTAGAAATGTTCACTTAAACATGGAAAACTATAGTGTAAATCCACTTACCGCGATTTAAATGATGACATACTGTTTTCAAAATGGCCGACATATAGTCTACGTCTGGCCCATTTAAATTGATTTTGACTGTATATATATTATTATTTACTTGTGTCATACAGCAGAAAATCCCTATATGTGACCGCTAATGACCATTTTTGTACCCTAAGTTTCATTTGTTGTTTTCTTTCTTGTTTGAAAGGATTTAGTACCGCGAACTAAGAGGAGCACAGTGTAACATTTGTCAAACGTACACGGTAAAAACCAAAATAAATCATATGGACATTAGCGCACAAAAAAATCTTTGGAAATACGTGTTGAAGACCTAGTTTGTCTACAACTTTTACACATTTTAAAATTGTAAGATTGTTTACATTTTTTGGCAGTCTGTGATTTATCAAAACCTGGACACAATTTTAAGGATCTTACAAAATAAACTTATATATTATAGCATGGTAAATATTTTATCAAGAGGATCTAAAAAGATTGATAAGGTTAACGTCACACCGGCAAAGTATAGGTCATTTGGCGACTTCCAGCTTTACCGGAGGAGGACGACCTCAGGTGCCCTTCCATGCATTATTTAGCTTCCTCACATGAAATAAACCAAAGATCCAGTCAGGATTCGAACCCACAGCGGTAAGGGGCAAGTGATTTGAAGTTAACGACCTTTACCAATCAGCCACGGGATCTAAATAGGAAGAATACTTTTTTTTCAAACTCAATAATTTATTCTAATTTATTTTCACCACTGATGACATCACCTTTTAAATGCACGTCTTACGTTAAACACATGATAGCGTGAATAGTTACTTTAATGATCACTCTAACAAAAACCTAATACATGTACTGATCATGTTTTAAAAGTTTTTTTGCCGTTATATATGTCCAAATATTCTAAAGAAGTTAAATTAATTTATAGGTGTTCAGAATGGTGTCCAGACAAAGATATAATCTTTAACAAATAAATGTATAATTTAGACAAATGGAGACATAAAAATTAAGATGATAATTAAAATAGAGAAAAACAAAAAACACAAAGAACGCAAAAACGGTTAAAATGTACAATGTTGCAGACTCGTTTTGATTGAGTCTGTCCGCGGACAGTTCTGGAAAGTGCAAGGTACCGTTTATGCTCATACACGGGTTTAAGCAGAATTCAGCATTTAAACATCAAAATGGTTATTTTATTTTTTATCTAGAAACATCAGCAGATATGTTCATATGGCGGTTATTGTGGAACCTTCATGGTGGCATGGTCTTGTCATTCCATGAAAAGCTCCCTTTGGTCCCTAAGTAACAAAGTCTTATGGTGACCAACCTATCTATCTCTATTTATTTTTTTTTTTGCTCCAGACCCGCAATTTTACATTATTCATATGACATGTCTTTTATGTAATATATAAAGATTGCTTAAAACTTAATTCATAGTTTTGTTACATTACTAATGTATGATTTAAATAAAACATGATTTATCACAATAAAGTTCTTAATTCCCGGTGAAGTAAAAGTACATATACGAGGATTGTTTAAAAAGAAATTGGACTAAGGCACTACTGTTAACATCCTTTGATTAACTTACACGTTCAAATTTGCTATCACAAGCTACTGGCAAAATGTAATAAGCAATGCCGCTTTAAAACAAAATAGATCACTATAAGAAATTACCACGTAAAATTTTGATGAATCGTTTAAATAATTTGTAAATGCTCTTAGTTCATAACAAAAATACCCCCAAAGCCACTTTTTTTATTTAAGTATTTGAATGTACTCTGGGTTGTTACATTATGGTACAAAGAAAAAACGTAGTTCACTTTAACGGGAATATTCGGTGTGTTTGAGTCACAAAACAACATGCTTCAAGTATCCATCATCAAAATACCACACGTAGTATCTTGTTTCTTTTTATATCCTTTAAACTTGAGAAATGGTAGCTATATCCATACATTAAATATTATATGACACGACCTTAATGCATTACACATTGATATTTACTTATAACTTAAAACGATACATTATACATATTATGTATGGGTGTTTTTAATTTTATACAGGAACTGTTATAATATTGCTCTTTCCCATTTGTAAAATATGAAAATAATTCAACAAGGAAGGGCGACATTCAATGAACGTCATTGTTGTGAATAAGTAGTATTTGTTTTAATTTATTTTATATCATCTTATATCATCTTAGTGTTTATATAATTGTTTCATTTTTTGCCAATTTGCAGTAAACAGATTAGGAATAAAAAATTGAAGGGCATACTAATAAGCATTCAGTATATCGTGTTTTTTCCATACATGAATTATATATAATTGCTCGATTTGAGACGAGATTAAGTATTGCTTTAACTTCCACACTACTAACAAATTTTAAAGTTTTGGGCAAATTGAGTTCCAATGTCAACTTATAGAGGAATGAACGAAATCCGAAAAAAAGTGATGTCTGTTAAAGGTATTCCTGGATTGAGAGTTGTTTTTTACTGACAAATCGGGAGTGGAAATTTTTTTTATCAAGATTTGTTAACCATTTGATGAACCTTTGAATGAGCAAGTTTTCAGACTATCATTGACCCTGCTTTTCTGGAATAATCTTTTTCATTGTTTAAAATGACATCAAAAGGATCGCTAAATGTCACACTAAGTAATAACATGAGACAGTAAAGGTGTTCCATAGAATGCCTTTCAGATTATTTATACGATAATTGCTTATATATGTCGTACAAATGTAGGAAAATGTCTTACATTTCATACAAACTCCTACACATTTATCTAAGTTAAATGACGTGATTAACAGCCATTCTTCCACAAATGAATCATTTTTGGTTCACACAAAATAAAAAAATCTCACTTTAAACAGCGGTTTCTATGGCTTGCTTTAAATGTTCAATACCTTGGACAGATTGTGGGGTAGTTTAGCACACACCACTCGCTTTGTATACTGAAAGCTTTTAAAGTGATTTACTGAAATATGTCGTTACTGAACATATGTTAACCATTGGAATTATTTGGCGATATTCCTCTCGTCATTTTATATTTGGTTAAATCAAATGTCAAATTTTTTAAAGGTATATTGATGTTTAACTTTGGTTTAATATTAAAATATAGACATAAACATAGTTGACCCATAGGTTAATGTTTCCTTGCTGTAAGTACATATGCATAATCATTTTGTAATAAATTCATGTTGTGACATGTATTTACCGTCGAGATTGAAATAAATGTTAATATGACCATATTAATTATTATTATTATTATTATTATTATTATTATTATTATTATTATTATTACATTGTAATTTTATTTGGGGATTAAAATTGTAAAATCTAAATGATATTTGATATCTGACCATTGCAAATATGTCAAGAAAATTTCTTACCATAGACACTGTACAACTCCGTCTTCATTATTTTTTGTAATAGATAAAGTATAAAATTATCGATCCTGTACAAGAAGTAAAATATTTCACATTTTCACAAATCATCGGAAATAAGTTCGGCAATTCTAAAACGATTGACCTTCTGTTTTTGAAATTTGAAATCATAATTATCTAATCGGTTGTTTAAATCGCAACCACAGCTTGAAAACTTGTCTAAGGGTAAATTGAGCTTGCCAAGGAAGACAAAGACAACAAGACCAAGACAATTATTGCGTAAAATTTATGTGTTTTTTTTTTGTATTTTTAAACAATATTTCCAATTAGCCAATAATAGGTGGGGCTGATGTCGGAGCGGAGTATTCACGAGATTCAGATCTCCCACATCTGTTTATTGCTTCACATTTGAACAGATCAGGATGTAACTCGGTAATTGGTCCAATGATCAGGAACTCATTATTATTTCCATTTATTGCCGTTTGTAAGCACATTGGAGCTCTGTTACATGTAATAAGAAGATAGAACATAGATAAATATATGTTACTACGATAACTTTTGATTGTTGCTCTCTATACTTCTGTATTTTTATTTTGTGCTCGAAAATGTACAGTATGTTAAATTATTCAATAAAAAAATAATTCAATGGAATAATGACAAAGCATAGTGACTTTTAACAACTGTCTGTGAAGTTTAAGAAAAAAAATATCTTTCAAATATAATTTAAGTAGTTTAATCTGCAGAAAAGGCACCTTATGTCAACCAACAAAACAAATTCATGGATTAGAATTGACCTAGATAAAACTTTAGTAATAAAACCGTACATTCTAGACGAAGTGGATTGGTCTACAAGGGACATATTTTCTGTAAGTAATAAATATTGACGAAACAAAAGGAAATGAAGGTACGTATATTTTAATATCAAACTTCTTGAAAGAAATTGTTATAATAGTTCTAAATGATTCAGTATGAACAATTTAATATGAAGAATGGTGATAATTATTCTGTTCGAGAACAATTTTTTATCTGCAATATATTAATAACTACCATATGAATACATGTAATATCGGATCTTATCTCATACTTTCCAACAACAATAATATATAATTCATTTGTGGTTTGTTGTTTTGTCTTGATACTTACGAAAAACATACGCATTTAGTGTATTACAGACCTTTCGTTGTAGACCAATTAACATGAAAAGTTACCCGTGCCATCCAGCTAATAGATGGTTTAGGATCCCCTGATACCTCACAATGTAGGATAACCATACCTCCCACTGTCCAAGAGCCACTCAAGGTTAGATTTACAATTTGTGGTGCTAAAATTTGTAAATATGCAGGTTTTTTTTTCTATAGTTTCGCTTAAGTTTATACTATCATAAAATTTCATTTTTATAAAGCGATTTCTAAATAGCAGTGAAGATTGCAACAATCCCGGTGGTACAACAAATTTACTGGTGCCTTATTAAGCAGTATATAAGTAATAGGTGGTAAATTTCAAACAATAAATATGTTTTATACATATTTTACACAAATTTAGTTATACATAATAATTATTCGATCAAAAAGTGATCTATTTTTGACGTTAAAGGGATTCAAATCAGACATTTTGGCATGAAGGTAGTGGAAATATTTTTAGTTGAAATTGGTGAACCATTTGCCGAGGTCTAAACAGTATTCTTTGTGCAAATTGTCAGGTTTTTCTGCAACCTTTTATTTTCCGTATATTCAATATTATTGTGCAAATAGATCCAAAAATGAAAAACGTATTAATTTGACTTAGACAAGCATCTAAAAACAAATCAATTTTACTCAGAGTATATTTCCTTTTTATCTTTTCCCAATTGTCCATTTAATACTCTTTAATAATTTATTTATCAATGTTAAGAATCTTGATGTCTGTTCTTAAGTGTTATTGTTGGCGTCAGTTCCTTTTATACAATCAATGTGAAATATGCATGTTAACTTTACTACAATCAAAATATCCTTAACGAAGGGAGCTGTTTTGTGCCGAGGCAATGAATTGTGTAACACTTAGAATGGTATTTCCAACCAAGATTAAACTTTTATTGAACGAACAGGGAATGAATCTACTTAATTTAACTGGGCAAATACCAATTATTGTACAACTAAATTCAAAATGACATTATTCATATAAATGCCTCGACATAGAACGAAATAACATAAAAAAACATGTAAGCAAAAGGAACAGAAACATTTAAACATAATTTACTTAAAAGAAACAGATATGATGCGAAAAATGTTTAGAACACATATTATGCTATAATTGTTAAGGTATCATAAGAAAATAAAAAGAAAATAGTCAAAGGTCTTCGGACATAAAATTAACGTGTTTCTTTAAATCAATATGGAAGCTTAAAAAATACAAAAATGAACAGGAATACTAACGTGAACAGGGATTGCTACAGGGTGCTCTGTAGTATTCGGTTGATCCATTGATACATGTCGATGCCGATAGATCAAAAGTGTGTGTAATGTTGCAAGTTCTTCTTCTTTCCTTATACCCACCACTCGAACTTGAAGTACAAAATCCCCAATTACTCCACTCTGACCAATGACCACGATCTATAATATAAAATGGTCAGGTTGATACACATAATATAATTTTTCTTTTAAAATTCTAAATATTATCTATCAATTGTGTTTCAATCTTCGATCTGTTCGTTTAATCTAGGTCAAAATATTAAAAAGGTACATTTTTGTACTAATATGACGCAAACAAGGAATGTTAACTTTACTCATAAATGATATTGTATATCATTGAATAAACACATGCTTTACTTAAATGTATAAGTCAATTAAAAAGATGGTCTGTACCAGTTGTAGAAGTGGTTTTTAATGTAGATAAGCGTGACGTCGTGGTCGGTATAGATGATGATGGAAGATTGCATAAATCAGTCAAACAACAGTCAATGTAAACAGATCGGGAATGAATAGACCGCTTTTTCTGACCATCGCAAACCTGGAGAATAATATGTAATCTAGGTACCGCATTTTACAGTGTACAATTTAAGTTCTGCATTACAGTAGCAAAGACCACAAGTTTGTAAATTTTAAAATGTATAATTGATATAGAATTTAAGGCCATTTTATTTTACCTGATACATTTTGTGCAATTGATTAACCCATTACCAGATAAACACGCCTTTTCACGCCTTTTTGTTGTTTTAAATGATGAAAAATCGCCAAGATATTTTGGACTTGTTAGAGGCTAAAAATGACCTCAGGTCGACCATAAGGTAAGGTAATCATTGCAGCTATGTTGATGGAAAAAAATCAACGCACAAAAAGTGCAATTTTGAGATTTCCCCTCGTTGCCATGTTACCAGGAAATTAGACTGAGCATGTTGTTACAAAGGCAATGGTCCAGTCAACATTTGTCCAAAGATTGATTAATATTGAATTTTACATGAATCTGAACTTGTAACGGGAGACTTTTCGATGAAAATAGCTATTTCTTTTTACAAAATACTCATGCAGTTATGGGTTAAGAGGATTTTTCGTGTGAAAAAGTTTTCGTTTGAGTGAAATATGGAATTTATTTTCACGAACCATGATAAAATTTAAAATATATATTTATGAGTCGGATCGGTCCCTTAAGTCTCAAAAATCGATGTAGGTTTTTGCTCCGCCAACTTTCAAATTTATTTTTCACTTTTGTTTCTCACAAATATATATTTAGCCTATATAGCACGATTTGTCATGGATAAAATTAAATAAAGTCATATATTTTTCTGACCAATTTCAAAATATATATTTCTATAATAATCACAAAAATTAGCTGTGATTCAGTGTTAATCTTTTTTCAAGATCTATTTCCGATTTCAAATAATTTGAAAGACTGACCAATTTCTTTTCACAACCAACGTTATAAGTTGTCGATCCGTTAAATGTAGGCTTTATTTCCCTAACCATACACACCTGTAACGAAGCAAAATTAGTTGTGCATTTACCAAATCTAGATGTTTGATTGATATTTCTAATTAGGTAATCAATACTTAAGGTAAAAAATAAGAAGTAGGTGTGATAATTGTTCTGGAGGGTGGCGAAGATTAAGGTTGTCAGGTTTAACCACTTGCCTCTTGACGCTTTGGATCCGGACCCGCCAACGACTATGGAGAGAGTTGTACGTTTGTTAAATTAATTTTCGCTCAGAGTTAAGGGACAGTTCTAGGATAAGCACCCAGTATGTAGCAACTGGTTTTGTCAACATAAAATCGATATTTATTTAAGTACAGTCTAGGTTTTGTTATGTGCTTATATGCTCTGGTACACTCCATTGGTTATAGTTAATAGGTCGATTTCTAGGGGTGATAAAAGATCGCCACTTTTAAAAGATTAAAGAAGTTCTCGTAAGAAAAATTTAGATATATCAAAAACTTGTTACTTTCCAGTTCAACTTCTTTTTTTTCAAGTAAGGCATTTACTTACCTCGTCTGTTTGACACGATACTGTTTTACAAGTGTTGGCATTCGGATTTGAAAATGAGCAATTATAACACGTTAATCTTGTTGCTGAAATACAACAATAGTTATTATGATAAAAATCCTTGTATCACGACATTTTCTGAGTTGGTACACTTGGATAAGCACTTACATTCTCTGCTAAATCCCTGTTATGCTTAATGTTTTCAAATTATTTAATATTTAAAAAGCTATTCATTCAACTGCCATTTAATTTTTTTTATAGATTATCTATTTCTCAACCTTCCGAATCGGTGACTATAACAGTAAAATAAAAGTCATTGCCATTTTCGTAATAATTTCACGTAAAATAATTATTTCTTACGGCATTTGTTACAATAGACTGGGCACGCAGTAGCTGCAAGAACAGGATCTGAACACATTTTGGCATTTTGACTAGCCATCACAACACAGGCGTTATGGTCAATGTCTGAACATTCCTCTTGAGACAGTCTTTCTCCAAAAACAGTAAAAGGCACGAAAAGTAACAACAATGGTCCTAAAGAAAAATACAAAAACAACAACAACAACGAAAGAACAACAAAAACAAAACCAAAAGCAACAAACAAACACACACACGCACGCAAGCACACGCACATGCACACAATTTAAACTTATATTGGCATGACATTCAATTTTGATTAATACATATCAATTTTTTATTTATTTAACAATTTATGTTCAGTTAACTGAAGTATTTAAACGCTTGTTTTTATGTCTTCGAATCGGGATTACAATTTTTTTATATATCAAAATTAAATTTTCAATTTATGTATATAGTATGTATATATTAACATGTATACATGTCACAGCATCATAGTGATCTTTGATTCTTCTTATAAAGACATAATACAAACAATGTAATGTTTTTGAATTCCTATTGTCATGCATATGTTTTGTATTGTTAATTCGTCAGTAATAATCTTAGCGTGAACAATTTGCCCTAAACCCAAATAAACAATGACATGGAAGCTATGCATGTGTGGCAAATTCTTTTTAAAAGAATGATGTATCAAACAAGCATTTATGTCAATATATACAGTGTCTGGTACGTGAAACGGTGCGGGTTTTCCGTGTTACGGTGCTTCCGTCAAATATGGAAGAACGATAAACAACACGTCGACAAAAGTCATTTTATTATCTATGTATCTATACACATGCATGTTATAGTAACAGGAGAATAATTGCGTATGACGTCAAAGTAAATTCACCATAAGATCAATGTGCACCATGCATGTTACGTATGATTTATACTTTTGTATTTTGTATCAATTCTGAAAACTTAATGATACAACTGTAAAAATAATTGTGTGTATTTAAACCGTATACTTTTTTATAACAGGTGTATGCACATTTGCCTAATGTGTGGCCTGCACTGTTTCATTGTATCAGGTAATGTCGGCACCGTTGCTTGGCATCAGCACCGTTGTCGAGTCGAGCCAGAAGGTAGACGGGTATCGACACAAAAATAACGGAGTGGGGAAATGTTGAAATTACACATATATTACATGTTGTGTAATAAACAAGCGTATTAACTTCAATATAAGTGCCTCTTGTACGGAGATTGTCTCAAATATTAACCACGTTTCCATTCATTTATTCATTCGGCATTTATTCACCAACGTGTATAAAAAAAATAATTGAAATAAGTCATACATAAGATATATGGTGAATATATTGATATTATAGGGATTCTATTTTACCTTATATGCAACTATTCTTCCTTTTATTATAAAACGTACTTGTCTAAATACATAGATGATAAAATGACATGTTCTTCCTTGTTGTTTATCGTTCATACATCTTAGATGGAAGAACCTTAACACCGAAGATCCGCACCGGTTCACGTTTACTGATTGATTATTATATTAATTTATTCCTTTAAATAGAATTTGTCAAACATACATTGCTTCCATGCCATTTTGTATTTGTTTTAGGCAAATTATTTGCTGATGATATAACAAGGCAAAACATCTGCTTTGAAATGATTCGGTAAATAAACAAAATGGTTACAATACGCAATAAATTCCAAAATCGTGGTTCACACACTATTACAATATTCATGAAGCCAAGGAATAAAGAAATAAAGTGAAAATCTTACCAAACAGCATATTGGAATCAAAAATAAAAATCTCTCAACTAATGAAAATGATAACAAGTTTTATGCATAGTAAGTGAGATAAGACTAGTTGGTGAGTTGAACATATACGCGGTAAATAAGGACACTTATCTCGTGTCACAAGACAATTTTGTTTCAAAAGCTGTTCTATAAGGCGAGTTATGAATTTAAAAAATGTTGGAAAGCAGTTGAAATATATTAAACTGGCAAGACACAATTAATGCATAAACATTTTCAAGTAATATAATACGATTAGAAGTTGACAATACAACGTTTTATTAACACAACGTTTTATTCTTATATGTTATCTTTATCATGTATCTGCTATAAAAAATATGATCGGTTTAGTATGTAAAAGGTTTGAATTTGTATGTGTTGAAAAATAAATGCTTTAACATTTTTTTTCAAAAGCATTGTGTGTTCACGTACACACTACAAAACACTTCAAAATTTGAATGTATGAAGATGAAATCTGGAATTCGTTACATTGAAATTTTGAAATCAGTATGTTCGTATCGCGAATACATTAAATTGATATTCTGAATTGACAAATTCATGAAGTTTAAATATTCCATCCCGTCTAATGTACGACAAATGTGGTGTAAAGTAAACGTACAATGGCTGCGGTTGAATGGTTTCACACCCCAGCTATGCACAGCAATTACTTGAGAAGGGCCGAACAAAATGCAACCTTGACGAATACCTGATAAGATTTTCGCAAATTATAGCAAAAATCCATTATGTCGTTCTTGTACTTGTACTCGTTATATATTGTGTCGGGACAAGTACGCTTAAGTCAATTCCGTACGGAAATTTAACAGATAAATGTAGCACGTGACTGACACTACGAGTCATATTATATTTATATAAAGACAGTTCTGAAAGTTCACACTCTATCGCCTTCTTGACAAACTTGTTATAACGAAACGAAATTGACCTTGTCGCAGCAGTTAACGAGCGCAGACGGTATGTGATTTTTTATCTTGAATTATAAAAAGAAATAATATCTTTGAAATTATAAAAATGTAGGTTTATTTTGTTTCATTTTCTACTTCAGTAAAGAAGAAACACGATGATAGAAAATAAATGTTTAAATGTGAATTTTCACTGTAGTAAGCGACATCTCGCGAATGATTCTTGTGGCCAAAAGTCGTTTTAAATGATGTAATGCAAAGAAGTTTATTATGTTACTGTTAAATAATTCGAATGGTAAATAACGACGTTAAAGTTGATCCTTATTCATTAAATAATATACACGCTGTTTGATTTGTGAAGTTATGCGAGGTTATACGTTGTTTTTTAGTCAAGATTTGGTTACGGGTCTAATTCTATAAATGATTTATCAACAATCATTAAGAGGCGGCTATTTTTTTAAACCAGAACTACGTCAGCACAGTACTATCCAAATCATTGCGAAAGAAAAAAAAACTCCAGATATCTTCAAAACAAACTTGTTTTCTGCTATATGAATAGATATACAAACTTCACAATGCATTTTGTCCAATGCAATACAGTGTCCCTTTATATGAAAATACATTGTATTAAATTTGAGCCTGGTTCAACGATATTTAATCTCGGTAAACAACCATCATAACATGAGTATTAAGTATTATCACATAAACCGCGGCGCGGGAGTGTAATAGAGCCATTTAATAAAAACGATATTACACTAGACGATATAACACACGTGTAATTACACAGACGTGACTTCATTTGCGCTATAAACATAGCGTTAAAGTGCGCTAATCAATGTGAGCGTTACACTATCAGTGCGTCAAATAAACATGACTCTTGTTAACAGTTTACCATTCTTTTTATATTTGAGATCAATAGAATATTATGTCCGTGTAGATTCAAAACTTAATTTATTGAACTCGTTGAGTAAAACAATAATTTGCTTGCCAGAGGCTCGCATAATATGATTTTATTCAACTCATTCAATAAATTTAGTATTAAACCTACACTCACTCCATATCCTCTATGTATTTCAAACCAAGTAGATGCATTAAGCTCAAATTTAATCTGTTGTATTTGTATTGAATTTAGAAACATATTCAAATGTTGACGTTTAGATCTCGAGCCATGATCTTATCTATTAAATTGTTTTTTACATGTATAATGTATGATGTATCCTGGCTGCACTTCTACTTAATAAACTACCCGTCTGGTATTGCATTATTGAGTTTAGAACGTTTTATGTAAGAAAAAGGCATTAGTTGCGAGTCAAAAATTTGTATACGGATATATATCGTCTTTCCATTCAACAAAATATGAATAAAAATATTTTGCAACAAAACAGTACATTAAAATATGATCCAGAAGTGTAACATAATGTATATGAATGTTTTAAGTATTTTTCAACTTTTATTGGGGACTCGCAAAACAAAGCGGGTCAATTCGCGGTAAATAATGCATCACATGTGTACAAGACTGGGCTAAAATAATCAAAGCAAAATGAAAATTTAAGCACTTAACAAGACACTTTCGTTTTTTGAGATAGTTGATTAGTAGGAGTCATTGTTTAACTCGCTAAATTAAACGTGTAATTTTGCGGCAAATAATGAGTCATATGTGTACAAGACTCGGATTATAATAATCAGAATAAACTGCTATCAACTCATGGTGTTACCTTACATATGTCTTGTTTAATTTTATTACCTACGGCCTTAGGCACCAGTTCAAAACACTACCCCCTCCACCTCGGGCCAACAGTTCGACTGTTCCCAAATCACATAATTATGAAATAACTTATTAATATACACAGCATGGTTTGTCTTCATCTTGTAATAATATACAATTTCAATTATATTTGACACTATCATGGTTATGCTGCAGGCGGCAAATGCTTCAGTCCATGCTACCGATGATATTTGACCGCCGTTTGCATTGTTCCGCACCCAATTGATAAATTTAAATAATGCGTTTTCCAAGTTTGAGAGATTGATAACTCAATTTTAGATATTTAGCATTGAAGGCGTTGTTATATTGCATGACTTAAGATCTCAAGATACCCGGTTTATAATGGAGCCGCGTGTTTTCATCAACAATGAGTAATAAAAGCTTTTGGTCATTTGACTGATCCTGGTAAAAATCATAATTTAGCACTCGCCCCGTTTTAACACATAATGTTTTAAAAAGTTCTAAAGTTAATTAGAATAATTTGCTCATATCATGTAAAAATAAATTATAATAGGTTTACTCAATTTTATCACAATTAAATTTATTGTCGAATATTCTTGATTTTTTGTGTTAAAACAATTTTAGTAGAATCTAACATCATTTAAATACCGAAATGAAATAATAACAAAATCAAATAATAACAAAGGCACGATCATGCTGAAGAAATATTGAATATTATAGCAGAAAATAACTTTGGTCACATACAAAATATTGTTTATCAATTTAAAATAGTTTTGCCCTTCAGATATACATTTTTGTTTATTTTTTGTCCGATTGCCTTCCTTTTAAAACCGTTTTACTTGGCTAGTTAAGCACAGCCATATTAAAAACGAGTTTAACAATGGCCAGGTAATTAGAACAGTATGGAGTATGTATATAATATCACTATCTTATAAAAATCCTTGTTTAGTTACTATTTCATGTGGGCAAGATTTTCTTACATATAGATTGTATTACGATATTGTATCAAAATCTGCAGTCTGTGGTTATTTCTTTCGGCAAATTTTATATCGTCATCACATAAAAGGAAAAGCATTCTTACCTCGATGTCAAAAAAGTCAATGCAATATATTTGTTAGTAAACTACATGTAATAATGAAAACAAGTACGCCGTTTTCTTTAAATTTGTTTATCAAATAGAGAGAAATAAAGAATCCATAAAGAACGTCCATAAACAACAAAAATGAAAATTTTGCAGGCACGGTTATATTGAGTCTGTTCGAAAGTGCAAGATACCGTCCTCATTCCCTTGCCAACATGAAATGGTGAATAGTAGAGTTGCAATATAAAAATTATTGTAAAGCAAATTAATAGATTTAATAGTAAATCTGTTAAAAATTTTGAATTGTATAAGCATCTCCAGATGTGTTCATATATGGTAACAGGGTTGTTATTAGGAAATCAGGAAATATAAGTAAAAATAACTAACTATATATATCTTAGGTGAGGATCATTTCTTTTTCATTCCATAGTACACACCAACTATTTATCTAAAGCAATAGATTTGTCGGTGACGAAGCGATAAATAAAAAAGATAAATAATTTTAAACAGTCACATCACATACGTTTATCTCAATCATCCTAAGTTTCAAGCTTTGCAAAATATTTATTTCTAAATTTGTAAAAAGGGAAACAAAAACTAAAAAAAACAAAAAACAAAAAAAAAAACAGTAGCAAGGACACAATAAGCTGAAACGATACTATTCCACGAACTTTAACAGTATTTACAAAAGCAATGCAAACAATCAAAGGTAATAAAACTAAATCAATAAAAACATAATAAAAACACAAAAGCTAAGCCAGCTATTGATATCAAATAAACAAGTTCATAATAATATAAGAAAAACATGGACGGATATTAGATAAAACAGATAATGCTGCAGACATAAACACTCGAGACAGTTTTCAAATATTTGCAAAAGTACAAGAACAAGATACATATAAATAAATATAATACACAAGAACGTAAAAAAATGAATATTTTTATACCATTAAAATCATTTCCAATAAAAACATAAAAAATCAACGCTCTAAATTTTTTTAGAAATCTCAGCATGAAATATTTATATAAGATGTCAATTACGTTGACAAATGGACTTTGTTTTTGAATACTTAGTCGCGTTTCAAAAACGTGATAATGCTGCCTGGCTTTTATCTGAAGCAGAGAATCCATTCCAGTTTTTAGTAATCCATAATCATAAATCATATATGTTCCGCTCAAAGTGATTCACAAAACCATCTCCTGTGAATTATAAGAAATTTACTCATTACACCTTGTGTTTCAAACATTTGATGAAAATATCAGTACGAATTATCAAATATTTGCTTTATAAGGAGCTCTTAAATTAATAATATTAGAGATAGATATGAACTGAGAACATGATTTAAAAGTAATTTTTTAAACCGGGACAGTGTAATTGCCAAATCAAAATAGTGTGGTCAATGCAACAATTAAACATATAATACAATGTATACGTTTACTTTTAAATTAACTATTAAAAAAATAATACAAACGAATATTATCGAATAGCAAAATTCATTTCTTTCTTGAATAGTTTAGTAAGCGCTTTGCTTATTGACAAAATACACATGTAAGATATCATATAAAATAATAACATGATTTTATATGTTACAATTATAATGTAGATGTACATACTCACCGGTTAAATCGAACAATTCCGCTACCCACATATCCAATTGTCTGCCTTTACTGTTACAAATCTGCTCCATTAATTGAGATATGAATTTACCTGTTAAATGGAAAAAAGAATTATATTATTTTAGCTATTGCCATCTACATTTGGTTTAAAGCAGTGGCGGTATTATCCTGTCAAGTTATTATATACTTTAAACTGTCAACGATACTATATCATTAATTAAAACCCCTACCTACATAAACTGTCTTCCGTTACATATTTTATTTTAAATTTGAAAACGATATTTTACTCGCTGTTAAAACTTTTTTGATCCTCTACCAATGACAAAGCATTTCATAAATTTGTCATATTCAAATATGCTGCAGTTCCAAGTACAATAAAATATGTCATGCTAAACAACAACGCATTCATTGACCAAGAGTTTAAATTTAATATAGATATGAGTGTTGAAAATTAAGTATCGCTCACGCCTGTGCTAGAAGCGTGAAGGATGCTGCACCTTTTCATTATCCCTCATGTACAGACTCAATACATCCGGGTCTGCAATTTTCATGTAATCTTGTTGTGATTAATGCTTCTGAGGGATCACATCTTGTCCAGAATTTTAATATTCATGCACTTTAATTTGATTGTTGGGCTTATCTGTTTTATGTAAATGTCAATGTTTTGTTATCTTACTATTTAACTGACATTAGGTCGTTAACAGTATAGAGTCTTGACAAACTGCATGGATATTATAGGTATATGATTACCATTTTAAGCGCTTAAAAGGTTAAACACTTCAGATTGTTATTTAAAAAAAAAATAATAACATACAGAAGACAACAACTTACTGCTTGTGTAACATAGATTATTTTGCAGAGCTGTATAAAATCGTGTTTTGTCCTTTGTACACAGATCATGTCTTCCGAAATGATTCAGTGACCTTTTTGCAAAATATATAAATAAATTAGTTTTAATAAACAAATTTACTTGCACTTATGCAAAATATTTGAAAACTTTTAAAGATGTGATTCAATTAATATTTTTATCGGTCATTTGAAACGACTTCGAAAAGCTTTTATCAATTAAAGTTCTTCCAATAATATAATACAAGAATGCAATGCAAGTAAATATTCATGTACCTACACTGTGGCAGAATGATTTATCATAGATATATAGGAGAAAAAACAAAACAATATCTTACGTCATTTTATGAGTTGAGTGAATGTCGTCATCTGCAAACATCTTCATACTTTTCAATCTAAAGTATGGTGTATTTTCTCTATCTATCCTATGTCTGGCCATTTTAAAATCTCCATCTGGGACATTTAAGTCGTTGGAATTCATATCTGATAACAATTTGTTTTCTTGCCCAATAATTCGACCGTTAACATAAGTAATGATTGAAGACATTAAAAGAAAAAACACGGATTTACAGCCTGCCATAATTCTTTTCAAAAGAAAGAATAGTCCTAGCTTCAATGGACACGTCTGAATGCTGTTGTGATATTATAATGCTCTTTGTTATCGACCAAATCGGTGGGTTTATGGAAATCTCCTCTGGATATTGCTGTTCTATGTTAAAGATATTGTATATCAGCCACAGCTGCCTTTTTGTATATCAAGCTAAAAACGGGTGTATAGATTTTCCCTCTAAATGTTGTTATCCTATTCCACTGCTATTGTATGACAACCAAAAAGGAGACGCATTCAATTTTCACCTGAAAGTTGTTGTAAAAAAAGGTTAAAGCCTTTGCACTTGTAAAATTACATACAAAACAGTTATAAAATATTTGAAATGATACATATTTTATGAGCAGCCTAAACTTATTTTCGTTTATTTGTTTGATTATGTTCATATTTAGCATACAAAAGAGAGTACATGAATACAATAATCAAATAATTCGTCATATAGTGTTTCCAAAGCTTTTAAAGTTGGTATCATTTAAAAAAAATGAAAATGTTCCATTTTAATATTATGTTAATTTTAGCATACAACTTTAGAAAAAATGAAAGTACATGAATACAATAATAAAACAATTCGTCATTTTTTAAACTTGTGAATTTGCTAAGATTTAATAAAATTTGAAAATATTCAATTATTACACCATAAGTGTCCAACGTCTATTTTTTTTTTAAATAAGAAGTACTTACTTTTCAAATAATATGCAACAAGTACACAGTTTAAGTCTCAGTTAAACAAGCTACACGAACAGTCTTCGATGTCAAGTTTCATGAAGAATAATTTTACGATCATCTGTCGTGTCTCTTAAATACCTACTATATGCACAAACAAACCAACAAGATATCTCCCTATTGTAGAATTAGAACGTTGTTGAGGACCACTAATTAATGCATATTCATTATATTCACCTGGCGTGACGTTAGCTATCTTACGTATTATATGAATGAATACTTTCATATAGGAAGTGGATATCGCTATTCTGTTTCGTGGGTGTATAGATTAAAATTAATTTCATTATCAAAAGTACACTTTGTGGCTCTAAATCCTATGTTTGGACCCACTGAAAGTAATTCAATGCCTTGAGATAGAACAAGAATAATCACCTTGCATGTCACTGATGATGAAACACAGCATGTCCTTAGGATGAGGAGGGTATAATGATAAAATAAATGTTTGCCATTCTTAAAGAAAGTTGTGGTTATTTAAACTTACAGAGTGTCTTTTTACGACATCCCATCGTATCTATTTCAGATATTAACGCATAAGTTTAATCAAAAATGGACTTCCTGGAATTTACCAAAATGTATGAAATCATAAATTATATTGTATATTTTGTCATGCACAAAATGTAATTGATATTTGACTAAGTTATGTGTGAACCCAAGTGCCAGGTTGTGGTTAGCACCAACTAGAGGGAGTTTTACATTGTTTTTAAGGGAAACATTTTGACCTCCAATATCAAAACCAGCTTATGATACTGAACTTTAATTAATTTACAAAAATAAACAGCAAAATAAAAGAACAAAAAAATGTGTCAGTTTTTGTCGTGGAAAACAGATTCAAAACAAATTCGTGTTTTACTGACACAATTATAGTATACAGTATATTTAACTTTATATCATCTTAACACTGTATATGAATATCTTTATCTCACTTTCTCTATTTTGTAAGAGGTTTAATTTATATACCATATTACAATGTAGATCTACAATAATTTCAAATTAAAGTTACGCTATTTATGCAAAATATACACGTCAAATTTATGATACCAGATATTATACTGTGATCATGCAAGTTGTTTTACTATTTGTATCTATTTTTTTATTTATTTATTAAATAATTTATCTATCTGTCTATTTATTTATTGGAGGGGTGGGGGATTTAAATAAGCCACTCTTTGTGTTACTATGTCCTTTGGTTGAGATACATTAAGATATTTTTTCATGCAAAACACTGAATCATTTTGAACATTTTTTATTTATTTATTTATTTTATTTTATTTTTTTTTTTAAAAAAAAATTTTTTTTGGGGGGGGGGGGGGGGGAGGGGGGTATTGTCATGTAATATCTACAACATACTGACGCTGATTTTGGCTCTGTACTTGTAAGAACACCTAGAAAAGAGGTAATCACTTGGAAGCAACGAAACAAAAATATGATATTTAAATTGCAAATTCGGCTTTATTAAGTAATGAGAGAACAGACAGATAATGTGTAAAAGTGGAACATCATTCACGTCTCCTACCACCGGCTTAAGTGGTATTCAATCTTCACCATTAGTATGGTGGAATTAATGACCCCTAAGGACGAGAAAAATGTAACAAAACTAAAATCAAGTAAAGGGCGACATTTGACATTTGACTGCGGCCACAAGGTACTTGACACCTGCAGAATCGTTTTATCATACATATGTTTTGATCACCATTGTACAATAACAATGAATATGCTATATGCTGAAATATAAAGATGTATATGAAAATAAACAAGATAATCAACTATAACCGTTCAAACTGCACAATTGTTGCTTGTCATAAGTAATAAAATATATAATTTATTTTATGCTGTCAATTTTTTTCATTGTCGGGTATTAATAAGCCCTCTTGGTACTATGTCCGGTATGTACATTTAAATATTTCAGAAAACATGAATGCATGACTTAATTATATTATTTGTTTTGCCGGCATGTCAGAATTACACGTGAGCCGACCCATTTTCTCGTACTTGAAGACCTAGAAAGAGGCTCGGAACACGAACTATGCAAATTAGGCTTTCAAAGTCATCCAGAAGGAGAAGAAAGTACTCCTTCACGTTCTAGCACCGGCTTAAAGGGTTATATTACCATTTTAGCATGGCTGGTATGACCCCTAAGCGAGAAAGTACAACTAATGATGGCGCATTTGACTCCACAGGCTTTAATGAAATCTTTTATCATACATATGTTTGTTTCTTTTACGACGGTGTTCTAAAGTGTTCTCAGCTATAACCTTACACTGCAAATTGAGCTGTTCAAGTAAAAGTATATCTTTTTTGAATTTGCTTTTAGGTTACCTGTTTTATAGGGTGAAAAATAAAAAATAGCACTTTCATAATCTTCTGAGTATGTAAAGCTATGAACATGAACATGTACGACAAGAACACACGCTTTCATAGGAATGTTATATAAATCCATATAATTTTATGTGATATATTTATAACCAATCATATCAAACATAAGCATACACGACTTAATTTATGTCATTAGTAACGAGATCAAAGTGGCAACAAATTTAATAATGAATTTTATAAATTGAACTATAATTACAACTTAAACCTTAGTTATCGGTTAAATTTTAAAAAAAAGAACGTGTACGAATATTTTACATATAAATTACTATTTATCTAACATTGAAGGGAAACTACTGTGGATTATATTCTGTATGCCAGATGATATGATACTTTCCCTTTATCATACGCTCACTTATGTCCATTCGCAGATGTTATGCTGTTTCGTTCATGGCCGTTTAAATTTTTGTATAATCATCTAGATAAGTTACAAAATTTTGTTTGTTAAATTTCATAAATAATTGAATTATTTTTTTTTTAAATTGAAGAGAAAAAAGATAGCAAACAAATTTCAGTATGTGAAATACGTATAGTATGGTTCAGTATATTTACATATTAACACTAAATTGAACACTTCTCGTATATGTATAATCTATATGTCATAATTAACAGTCATAGTGTTCTAGATATGTAGTTAGTTACACGATTTGGCAAATTTACTTCTGACATCACCAAATCACACTTTTTTCACGATGCTATCCATACCGAAGCCCATTCAGTCAAAATTTGTACTGCAATAAGCACAATTGTCAATAATAGTGCTAAAAATGAAGTAGGAAAACGATGAAAGTCTAAATAATCATGGCAAAGATTTTTACAAAGTACCATGTGCATTAAAATATTTAGAAACGTCAGTTTAATGCAACATTGATAGATTGTATATACATGTTTAAGATGGATTGCTCTCTTCATTCTCTTCATTCTATTTACACATCTATCATTACATGTGGTAAAATAAGATGAATACGAATTGTCTTACATGGAAGGACAGTTTTTACTAATAAATAAAGAAAACACAAACATTATTCGATCGACAATTTATCATAATATTTCCACTTTTTAAATTTTATTTCCATAAATTTCTAATTGCAAAAAGAAAAGAAAATGTACCTTAAATTGCATACACCAATGTTAATCAATGCAATCATGACATTGTCATTTCTTATTGTTGGAAACGTCAAATTCGGTTGATTATTGTTGATTTATTGAGCTGTGAATTAACACGGAATGTTTGCATAACCATTATCAGAAAAACACGTTCTTATTAAAGGTTTTTTTATAGCTAAACTTGTATCCTCTTGTATACATGTACATATATTACTTTTTGGCTTATCTATATTTTATCAATATCCCACTGTTGTTCATGATTGGCGCATGATACATTTGTCAGATCATTATTACTTTTATCTTTTAAATTTATTTGATGAGGTAATCAAAAAAAAATAATGGTGTAAACAGAAATGTATGACTTATTTATCTGTACATGATATTCATTGCATAAAAGATATGGGCAAAGATTTGGTCAGTGTTTCAATCCAGACTGTTAGATATGAACAAATTTCTGCTTAAATCGTTTTAATAAGCTACCTAAATCGAATCGTAACTTTTGAGCATCATCTTTTTATTTATTTATTGAAATACTTCTACATCTGAAACTATTTTGTCATTTGTACATACATTTAATGATTTAGAATTATGTTAATACATATTGTCGCTACTATAATGTATTTTCAATTCAATAAATGGCATCACTACCTAAAATAAAGAAATAAAACAAAATATTACTGGCAGAATAAAAATAATAATTTGGCACCTTCGAAACTGACATCCGAAAAACGGAACAAGGCTATTAATAAATAAAAGTAAACATAATCATTATATATAAGCTATAAAGCTAAAGAGTTTTATTATATTTTTCCAATTATTCACGACAGTTACGTTAGTTAATCTAATGACGTTGGATAATAAACATCGTAAATATCTTTTTCATTCAGTAATATTTGATAATTTTATCTCGCTTTTGTACTTCAGAAAACAAAAACTATGAATTTGCAGTTTCATGTAATAATCTACGTTTCTAGTGTAGGAACATTATTATGCTTACTATCGTTTGTCTCTCTTGTTTATAACGCCAATTTTGATTTCGTACAGAGTCTAATAAATAAAATTATAGTTTTATACTTAAAAAAATAATAACAATTTGAGACAAACCTCGTACTTACAAAATTAACACGACTTTGAAATGATTTAGCAGAAATTAATTCTTAAATAAATGCATCATATGTACTTTACCTCGTTTAAATAAAGCAATGATCTGTTGTCTGACATTACTCGTCTGTTTCAAATTCAACGTCAGCTGTCAATTTTGCTATATATAATGATAAAAGGTGTGCAGTGAATAATCAGCAAACAAATACAGTCATACTAAGAAATTTATCTTGATCTAGACATTTATAATTAAAAAGTTAACAAGTTCTTTAATAGACAATAAATTAGAATATATGCACTTAATGTAAATCATGATAATGATAAAGATCTCATTGTTACGTACAATAACCTTCATCAATCTTATTCAATGCTATGACAATATTAAGTCCTACTTTCAAACACGTTTTTACAAATCGAAATTCAGATTAATAATGCTTATTGAACAAGGTTATTTATTGACTTTTAAATTAGCATTAAAGATTGAGAAATGTATGACATAAGTTTGATCGAAGATTA